TTAACTTCCCTTACAGTCAAACCTCACACTCTTGGTGATAATATTTTCTGTGAAGACTTAACTTCCATTCCTGCTTAGTCTCATCAAACTTTTCTTCTTCAAATTTAAGTGGGAGAAAAAACACCCGAAGAAATGAGGAAAAGCATATGACCTCATTCCTTTTAATTTTTAAAAAGTATAGTAGCTGCTTACATTGGCTCCAGAGTGGACCTACTAGCCATGGGGGACCAATGCATTGTGAAAAGCTGGATCTCATCCACACCTCTCTCCTCTTGCTGTTAGTAAATGCTGCACCAGGAGTTGATCCAGGAGTTGTTTATTCTAAACGACCTCCAAATCATATACTGTGGCACTTATCTGCCTTTTAACTTTGGCAAGGCTCATGTTATATTCATTTTTTAAAATTGCCAAACTGTAATTGTAGATAATTATGGGGTTTGACATGATGTTTCAATACATGTATATACACTGTGGAATGACCAAATCAGGCTAATTAACATATCCATCATCTTGTCATAGTCTATCCTGTCACAACCTGACAACCCAGTGAATGATGAAACTATACTATAGATTTTCATGATCTTGCTTATGGAATTAAATCTTAAGAACCATGATAGTATTTCAGACTGTCTATCTGATGTGTTGTTAGCTGAACAGCAGGCAGGCAAGATACTATATTACTTTTGGTTTCCTATTATTTTGTTGTTTCTTTAAAAGAACAAGTGGTACACAGAAAAAACATCAAAAAAAGGAAATAACATATGAGTTCTTCTCGGTTTCAAGGGTGAAATAAGATTAAATTACATACAAAAACTTAAAAACTATAGTTTATATTCATGGATGGAATAGAATAATGATACCCATTAAAATTACTTTTAAAAAGGGGGGGAGGAAATAAGAGTAACAGAGGGGGTAATTTTGATCAAAGTACATTATATGCATGTGTGGAAATATCACAATGAAACTCCTTATAAAATTAATATATTCTAATAAAAAATAAAGACATAAAAAAGCATATTGTAAGTTATGTTATACAAATATATGTATTGTATTTACTTCCCTTAAATTGATTTTGACTATTTCTTCAGAGATAATCTGAACCTTGAGTTTTTGTGAAGACCTTGAGTTTCTGTTTTGCTCCATGAAATTTACTGCAATTGAAAATCTAAGTTTGTTTTCTCTTGCTATGGAACATAAATGCAAATACCAGAAGAAACACTGTTCTGCTTTCTCCAGACCAGTCACAAGAAAGTGCTGCTTCTTGCAGCTAAAATTAAAAAAAAAAAAAAAAAAGAGCTTCTAGAAATGAGGAAGGCAGGCAGAAAGTGATGACTGATTTCCATCCTCCCTTCATTGTATGACACTGAGTTGCACCAAGTCAACAGAATATTAACATTCACATTTTATGTGATTTGAAAATTAATGAAATAATTAGAAGAACAAACTACTAGAAAATAAATTTTCTGTAACAGTAGATTCAAATCTTTTGACTGAATTAATTTTTAAATGATTTTTCATTGCGAGGTCAGCCTAGGCAAAACGTTTGTGAGAACCCATTTCAATAGTGGGAAATAACTGTCATCCCAGCTACAAAGGAAAGTGTAAAGTAGGATGATCACACTCTAGGCCAGCCTGGGAAAAAAGTGAGGCCCTATCTCAAAAATAACCAGGGAAAAATGGGCTGGTGGAGTAGGTCAAGCTGTAGAGTGTCTGTCTAGCAAGCGTGGAGCCCAAAGTTCAAACCCTAGTATTGCCAAAAAAAAAAAAAACAACAAAGGGTTTTCATCCTGAGGCATAGACTTACAGCCTGTAGAGTACAAATTCAAGAAAGGCAGTCAGTATGCTAAATTCCAAAACAATAAAATCCCTCATGTTTTAATTTGCATGGCAACTAGAACCCAATACATCTAATACATATACCTTACAAGACAGAACAGACATAAACAGAGATGTTTATGTAGTACCCAGGTATTACAGGACTGAAGGAGAGCATGCACTCTGCTTCTGGGAGCCATTTATGACTCCTTCAGATTTTCATGGCACTTTGGGTTTAAAACCCCAGACTGAGCCCCTACACCTACATAAGAGTAGTAGCCAGGGACCCTTTCATAAACCACAATGTTCTTAAAAAAAAAAAAAAAAGGATCTGAAATTAAGTGTTCAGATAAGAATTATACAGGTTCAAAACAAGATTTCTAAGGGGCTGAGAGAGTACCTCAAATGGTAGAGCACCTGTCTAGCAAGCACAAGGCCCTGAGTTCAAACCCCAGAACTGACAAAAAAAAAAAAGGTAAGATTAAAAAAAAAAGACTACTGTACTCTTTTTTGGCCTTCATTAGTTCATGAATAGTAAAAAGAATCCAATAGCATTAGTAGAAACAATCAAATAATAAGAAACAAAACAACAGAAAGTATTTCCTCTTTTTTAAAGGAAATTTTAATAATAGCAAAATCACGATACACTTGTTTAATATATCATTTCTATACAGAAAAATCTCTCTAGCTACTGAATAATAAAAATTCTAGAAAAAATATTTGAACTATATTCTTTTTTTTTTTTCTTTTTTGGCAGTACTGGGTCTTGAACTCAGGGCCTCACACTTGCTGGGCAGGTACGCTACCACTTCAAAGCCACTCTACTAGCCCTTTAACTATATTCTTCATTCACGACTCAGTTCATAGCAAATTAATGAAAACAACTGAAGGCAGATCTAAAGACAGTAAAATTCTAATAGAGTAATTTAGTTTTGGAGATAATAACTGCCCTAAAGGCATCCCCATCCATATAGCTTACAAGGGCCCCAATTTGAAGGAGTTTGCCTGAATGAAAGACAGAAATTGAAGTCAGAGACTGTATCAGTGTACTCTGGCTGCCATAACAAAAATGGCTGGGTGGCTGAACCAACAGAAATTCACTTTCAAACGGATCTGGTGGCAAGAAGGCCAAAACCAAGGTACTGAAAAATATGGTTTATAGTGAGCCCTCTTCCTGGCTTGAAGATGGCTGCTTTCTTGCTGTGTCCTTATATGACCTTTCCTCTATGCTCACAGGGGGAGAAAGCAAGAGTGAGAACAAGGACACTAATCCATGGATGGGGGATCCTGCCCTACAACTCACTTAACCTTAATTAATTCCTTAAAGGCCTCATCTCAAACATAATCACATCGGGAGATGCAGTGCTTCAATTTATGAATTTTGGAGAGGACACAATTTATTCCACAGCCAGGTCTGAGCTGGATGAACAGCAGGAGTGGGAATCCCAAAGGGTATTGCCTTTAGCAGGTGTGCTAGGAAATTACCTAAACCTTCCCTTCTTTACTTCAAGTGGAGCTATAAGGGAGAGTCTCCTCTGGGATAGCTTTAGGGATACATTTTATCCTGAAGCACATGCCACAGGCACACATGTTTATGGATAAAATTCACACACAACATTGGGGAGCAAGAGAGGCATGGAGCTCAAGGCACAGACTGATTCTGAAGTGGCCTGGGGTTTTCAGTGTCACAAGAAACAAATTGATGCTGGAAAAAAGAAAAATTAATCTTCTCTGTACAAACATACTTTCCAAAAATAAAGATCAGAGGAACAGGAACTCACAATCAAGAATCACCAACCACAGGTTGGGTGTGCTGGGTCAAGCCTGCAATCCTAGCAGAATCATGGTTTGAGGCCTGCCTGGGTAAAAAGTTAGCAAGACCTGCCCCCCACCTCAACCAATAAAGCTGGGTGTTGGTTGTGGTTGTGTGCACCTGTCATCCCAGCTACATGGGGAAGCCCAAGTAGAGGATCATGGTACAGGCTGGCCCACATATGTGCGCACGCGCACACACACACACACACACACACACACACACACACACACACCTCTGTGAGAACTCATGTCCATGGAAGAAAAGCTAGGCATGGTGGCATGTGCCTGTCATCCCAGTAATGGTGAGAAGGTTAAAACAGGAGAATCATGGTCCAGGCCAAACTGAGCAAAAAGTGAGACACTATCTACAAAATAACCAGAGCAAAAAGGGATAGAGGCATGGCTCAAACTGTAGACTACCTGCCTTGCAAGCACAAAGCCCTGAACCAACCCCAGTATCACCAAAATTTAAAAAAACAAACAAACAAACAAAAAAACCCCATCGACACAGGGCTGGCAAAGTGGCTCCACCGGGAGAGTGGCTACCTGGGAAGTACAAGACCCTGAGTTTAACCCCCAGCACTGCCAAAAACAAAACATGAATCACCAACCACATTAGAAAACTAGTAACCATAAACTTGTTTCAGACAAAACAAACTACAGATTCTAATATAGAAAAGAAACACTGAAATCACTACACGTAAGATACATTAGCATTGTCTGCACATATGAATAAAAAAAAAGATACATTAGGAAATAAACCTCAACAAATTTCTACAATTCAGTCTTACACGTACCTAATCCTCTGGCTACAATTCAACAAAAGGAAGATTAATAATAAAAATAGAATTCAAAGATCTACACATTAGGAAATAAAGGAAAAAAACCTCACATATATGTAAGTCAAAAAGAAACCATAATGAAAAACAGAAAATATTTTAAAACAACTAAATACTTCTACAGTGCTTTAAAACTATAAAACATTATTTCACTTAACCATTGTTAATAATCAACCCTGTAAGCTATACAGGATCCATATAATCATTGTTCAGTACAGAACTTTCATAAATTATGCCGTTATTAAAATTAATTTTATATGAAATAAAATATTTTACCAAGTGTTTTGGTTAGTAGGAAATAGAAGTGATAGCGTTCACCACTCCAATATCAAAAGAAAGATAAATTAACTGACCCTTTTAGAAGCTGTGTTGAATAGCTAACAAATTTTAATACTTAAAGCTCAAAAACTCTATCAATTAATTTTGGTGTAGGTCTCTTAAATACTTACACATTATATATATATATACACTAACAAGGTAAAATGTTTATTATTCATATGAGCTGAACAAAAACTATCAGAAATCGTTGCTGCATGATCTGAGTGACCACAGAGCACGTTCCCACTCAGACATATAGTCCTCGTTTGTTGGTCACAGCATGAGTTCTATGGTGTGGTGGCAATTAATAGCATTCCAAAAAGTGCCTATGATACAAAGGGAATGTTCACTCACAGCTCCCCTCCCTTTTCATGTGTGGGATATTTTTGGAAGTATTTTTTCCATCCACTGAGAGAGAATTAAGAAAATTCCAACATGCCTCAGTGTCAGCCAGGGCTCTTCTTAGTCCAGGTACCAGAGAATGATTGATGAGCCTGTCAAGACTACAGTAGCAGACAGAGAAGCTGGCCAAAGCTCAGCGTTACTGAAAGAAATCTCAAATACTTATTTCATCTCCTCTATTAACTTTAATCACATTTTCAACATGCAGCCAAGAATGAAGCTTTGACAGTAAGCCATAAATTTACACAGGCAAGCATTGTCAATTTTCTGCAGTTGCAACACTGAGATAACATAAGAGAGTTGGATAGTTTCCTTCTTGTGGCTTTCTTTACTGAAGAGCAATAAAAAATATTAGAAAGATTTATCCACACCTCAGATTCATTGGCCATAAATCTCTTGAAATTACAGCATGCACTTTTGCTTAGTTTATGGCAAAAAAAAAAAATCAACTTACTTCTTCAATTAGATTGTTAAATGTGGATTTTTAAAGATCACAGTGCTGACAGAATTTGGTACTGTTTCATCATAATACACCTGCTTATGAGAACAGACGTTAACACTGAAAAGGATTTACATTTAACACGGATCATTTGCCACATGGGCAAATACTTCTGGTTCATTTGGAGTCAGAATCTTTATATGGCTCCAGAGGGAGTCCTTGGCAGATTTTGTTGATTACTCATTAGACAGCTGAAACATGTAGAGACATTTACCTTAAAGCTTACCCACAGCAAACAGACACAAAAATGAGGTAAATACTACAGGCAAGATTATGGTTCTGGGAAAGGCTGAAAGTCAGAAATGTTTTTGGTAAGCTTTTCCCCCTAAACATTTTTAAAAGATGAAAATATTAAGGGCTTAAGGTCACTAAACTTAACACGTATGTCTTGTCATCTAGTGAAACAGCATTGTACTGTACTGCAAAATCTGTGAGCTTGCCCAAGAGGCATTCAAAGACCACCATGGCCATCTTTGTCCTAGGAAAGACAATGTTTTGACTCCTAGGCCTCTTAAATGTGCTCTGTGCTCTGAGGCCAGCTGGGTTTTGTTTGTTTGTTTACACTGCTCATGGAATAATACTTTATGCATTCTTATCTCTCACACCCAGGCAGGCAACAAAAGGCTGTTACCATACCTGCCTTATAAGCCACGATAATCATCTAATATTAAACCTGTATGAGAACGAATTAAGTTATATTTTTAAGAAGTCTATGCTTACATTTCTCTGAGCTAATTATTGGAAAAGAAGAACAATTCTCATTAACCATTTTTCCTTGTCCTCATTCAAATGATCTTATTTAGGCACTTAAAACAGGAATGGTATGGCACTCTTCCAGTGAACATCTTATCAGGCTCCAGCAGAAGTTTCTCTCTTCTGACACAGAGTGCCACTGAATGTATTGCTAAGCTTGAAGCAGAGGCTATATGGTTGACGGGAGTATTTAGAGGGAAGTCAATGTTTTCTCATGTGTTTGTTCGTACTGTAGATCAAGTTCTTAAAAGGTGGAAAACTTTGCTAGGTCCTTCTCCATCTCGGCATACTGTTCTTTAAGCCTCTCCATGGCTCTTCTGTGTTCTTCATCAACTTCAGCCTGTCTGTGAGGTTGTTTTCTCATGAAGTCCTCCCACTGGAGTACATGCTGTTTCTCACTAGCTATTAAATGCTCATTGTACATCTGAGAAAAGAAAATGTGAAAGTCATATAACATCTTTCAGACAATTATTTCTTACATGACGAAGACACAAATATAACTTTATCTCCTGATGTTTAGTTACTATAATAGTCACCTGGTAAGTCGTACTGATAAAACTGTACTATAACTCTTTTTTGGGGGGTGGAGGGGCAGAGGGTGAGATAGGGTGTTGCTACGTAACCCAGGCTGGCCTGGAACTTGCAGTCCTCCTGCCAGTCTCCCGAGTGCTAGGATTACAGATGTGTGCCATCACGCCTGGCTGAGCATTATAGTTTTAATGTCTAATAAGAACATGGCATATTAGAAACATGTATGGCTTTGTTACTATACCTGAAAATGGATCCTCAGATTTCTAAAACTTCAAGTGTCTAGTATCTTTAAATAACAAAAACCAAGTTGTTTTCATACTTCTATTTCTCAAGTTAAAGTTAACTACATATGTTTTTATAAAGAATATATGCTAAAGAAACCATTACTGTAAGAAATTAAAATGTCTGTCTTACATAAAGTACATTTTAGCTACATTACAAAGAGTCAGATTATTAGTCAACGAAAGAGAATTCAAGACTTTTTTTTTTTTGGTTCAATGCTAGACTTTAAAGCAAATCAACACCTAAAGCATCTTGTCTAATATCTAAGTTCTTCTTAAGATGGTCCTTAACCTTTCTGTATGAGGATGAAAAGAGTTGTTTCTTTTGAGCACCATGATAATATAGATGAAACACTCTATAAAGAAAAAAAGTATAATTTAATTTTTCTGTCTAAAATATAATTTGAATTATTTTCTTTGGACACATGCAACAAAGAACTAAACAGAAAAGGAGTATGGAAAAAGTAACTATGTCTGTACTTCTATGCACACATCTTTACAAGTTTGGATTCAAAGTCCTATTAAACAGGCCAACAGAATCTGTAGCAGAGGTAAACCAAAAAAACCTATAAACATCTGAAAGCATTACTAATTCCAGAGCTCTAATGAAAAAGATGTGCTGGTATACTGAGAAACCAGACTGCTGACTTAGATGCTACCCGAAAAATAGCTTCTGGGGAAAAGGTCAAAAACATGTTCTCAGTGGTTTCAGTCCACATACCCTCCTCACTCTGTGTTCTTGCATCTGGACCATAATGACAGCTGATGAAGGACTAGATAAGCCAACATGCTCTCCATACTCATCAAATGCAAATCACTGCTAGTTGTTTGCATGGTTTATCCACCTCCAAGAACCACTCTTATAAGATTACACTATTTTCATGTTACAGACAAATAAATTAAGGCTGAAGATACTTCTTTACTTTTCTATTAGCACTCATCCAACAACTGGGCTATTGATTCAAACCTGGGTCCTTCCACCACAGAGTGCATAGCAGGCATTTCCAAAGGAAGTTTTACACAGGTAGCTAAAAGTTTCTTTCACAAGACAAACAAAGCTCTGGTAAGAGCTATTCTGCCAAGCTGATCTGAAGTTCCTAAGAAAGCCTTTTCCAGTGAGGTTAGAATCTAAATTTGAGGTCTAGAGAAACTTAGCCCTAAATTATGTACCACAAAGACTGGAATCTGAATAGCTATCAGAGTGATAGAAAAAGAGGGCCAGGAAGAGATTTGCTCATGCAATAAATTTGGGAAATGGTTTACACAGACTTCAACACATTCCTTTATACCTTATGGATTCCAATGCTCCAAAAAGTGAATAAAACATGAAGAGTGTATTAAATGCTTTTGATGGAACTGCTGCAAAACACTGTTACAGTCTAAGAGAAAAGCCAAAGTCAGATTAAACAGAGAAGACAAATGTAAATACACTTCATCAAAATGGTATCTTGCTTTAATTTTATTTTTAATAAATAAATAATACTTAACACATAGTTAAGTGAGATGTTAAAAAAATTTTTTTTAACTGAGAAGCCATAATTGGCTTAGCTGACTTTTGTTTTTGCAGTACTGGAGAATGAACTAGGACCTTTAACAAGGGTTCTACCATTGGAGCCACACCTCCCAATCCTTTGGTTTTAGTTTGTTTTTTCAGATAGGGTCTCAGGCTGACTTCAAGCTGGCCTCTATCTGCCTGCAATTCTCCTGTCTCCACTTCCCAAGTAGCTGGGATTGCAGGCATTGACCACCATGCTTGGCCTTAGCTGACCTTTGGATTTGGTCAAGGCAACAGCCTGGGTTCCCCTTCCCACCAGGCAGCACTTTACCAAGTACAGCTCAATGAAGAAAAAATACAGACTTATGAGGAACATAAAACTCACTTCAAATTCTGGTTCATTCATTACAAGTTGCATGACACCGAGCAGGGTAAAGTTTCTTAACTTAAAAATGAGGAAAATAATGCTTTGCATCCATAAATAATATTTATGAAGACCAGAGGCAATGCGTGTCAAGTTCCTAGTCAGTGCCTGAGGTGTTTAATAAAAGGTAAATATTATTATACAAATCACAAGCAAGAACATCTAGACAGCAGATCACTCCACTTTTTAATCCCTTGCCAGTTAGGTTATTGTTCTTTAATAATTTAATTTTAGCAATAGATTCTTGTAATAATTTAAACATACAGATAATACAAATAAAAGTAATAGTCTTTCCCTTCCACTTTATATTCAATTCATTCCTCCTTGATGTATCCACCATTAACCATTTGGCTATTAAAATGATTTTAATTATGATACTACTAAAACACCAGTACTTTCCACTTTGTAGGTGCAGAATATTATGACTGAATATATATACATCCAAGCAGCAGTCACACGAGGCATATCACTCCTTTGCCTCACAATCCAGATTACAATAAACTGAAAGCTGACAACTACGCAACCTAAGTGAAAATCCCGGCTTGCTCTCTGATCAAGGAGTTTCTAAAGTCACTATTTTTACTTAGTCTCCCACCTTTAATAATAACTGCTGTGCATTCTTCATAACAATTAGTAAAGAAAAAAGAGGGCAGGTGACTAAACACTCATGTATTAATATTCATCATAATAGGAAACTTGATATTTTCAGTAATGTTCAATTCATACAGAAAATTAACCAGTAACATTTAATGAATTCAAAGACATGCACAAGAGCACGGAATAAATTTTTAAAGACTTCCATCTGAAATAGTTAATGATATAAAAATACTATGGTTAAAGAAGATAAGAACTTCAGATTTGTGGCAAACCTAGCTATATGTAATATTATGGAATATGTATATACAAAAGAATTAAAAGCAAGAACTTGAGCAGATATTTATACACTCATATTTAAAGTAGTGTTATTCACAATAGCTGAACGGTAGAAGCAACCCAAGGGTCCTCAGACATAAGAACAGATATTCAAATGTATATATACAATGGAATAATTAGCCTTAAAAAGGAAGGAAATTCTGTCACACAGTACAAAGTAGATGACCCTTGAGAACATTACACTAAAAAAAAAAGTCACAAAAAGACAAATAGTCAATGATCCCACTTATGAGACTCCTAGATTCCTAGAGACAGAAAGTAGAATGGTGTTTGCCAGGGCTGGGGAAAGAGGGGAATGAGGAGGTAGTATTTAATAGGTACAGAGTTTTACCAGTTTTGAACATTTATCAGCGAGCTTCAAGTATACAGCAAAAGTCATCAGCTGTAATAATGCTGTCTCCTTCTACTTGGTAAAATGTGCAGACTTACAACAGAGAAAGAACCAGTAATGATATACTGGATTATACATGAGGTCCATAAGAAATAAATTTAATCAGAAAACAATCCTGAAGCTAATCTATACCTAGAACCAATTCTACAAATGAACTCTGAAATACACAATACATACATTTCTGCATGGGTTACTCTACATCAGCAATTCCCCAAGGGATTTCCGGTTATCATAACACAGGTCAGGGATGTGCTGTGGGTGAACTATTGATGCTACAAAACAGGAAAGCCCATAACAAAGACTTATGAAACTAGTCCAAAATGTCAGTAGTGCTGAGACTGAGCAACCTTAGAATACAGGGAAAGTTCTGAATAACCCAACTAAGGTTTAAAAGGTCTTTTGGAAGCCAGGCATGGTGGTGCAATCTGTAATCCCAGCACTGGGGAAGCTAATACAGGAGGCTCTCCAGTTCAAGGTCATCTGGGGTATATGGAGAGATCTTATTTCAAAATAAACACACAAAAAGATATTTTGGAACATCTGTCAGTAGAACAAATTCTGTTAATTTTACATGTAACTTACTTTGGGGTAAGAAGTATTAAGCTGGGGCTGCTGGAGTGGCTCAAGTGGTAGAAAGCCTGCCTAACAAGCATGAGGCCCTGAGTTCAAATTCCAGTACCACCAGAAAAAAAGAAAAAAAAAAACCCAGAAATACAAATATCAAGCTGCACATGGTGGCTCACAGCAGTAATTCCAGATACCTGGGAGACAGAGATCAGGAGGATAGTAGTTTATGATATTTTCATAATAAAAATTTAAAACAAACAAAATAATTTAAGAAGAAGAGTATATATGAAACACTACTCTGCACTTTCAAATTCTATCAAGAACAATGCCCATATTCAAAGTATCACGCTCAAGGCTTCATGTGATTGCACTGCTCTCAAGAAAAGATCATGAAGGAGCCTGATGAAATGTAATAAATATTTGTGGACAAGACGAGAAAAAAGCATTCATCTTACTTCACTGTTTTCTCTACTGTGCTTAAACAGGGCTTCAAAAGTTGATGCTTGTGTATACAGAACCTTGTGTATACAGAACCTAAATTTAAGCACTTATGGATATCATTAACTTCTTATGTCTTTTGATGGCATATTTTTAACAGCAAGTGAATTTTATAAGCCAATTGTACTTTCATTTCACTCCTCTTATTGTTAGTACCCAAAATTCAACACTGTATTAGTGGTAGTTCTCAAGACATGTAAAATAACTGGGGAATGGCATTTATTGTTCTTTTGAATGTACTTTTAGATATCAATTGTGGGAAATGTGATTTAGATGAATGCTGCTTATCAATTTTACTTCCCACAGAATTCCACAAATTGTCTTGACATAAAAGAATTAATGATTAATAGCAATAGTCTATTTTATTCCATTATTACTCCCATCTTTCTTTGTTCTCAGGGCCTTTCAAACATATAAAATGTGGCCAACAGGACAACCAAAGGCAACAATCAACATTATATAGTAAAATGCAAACAGAGGTCATTTTTGCTTTGAACGTAAATGCTACATGAGAAATTAAATTTTACCTTTATCTCTCTCTCTCTCTCACACACACATACAAGTTGCAAAGCCATTTAACAAAAAATTGCACAATATGATTTACCCATCCACCTATCAAGTAAGTAGAACAGGTATGTATTTTGCAAAGTTTGTCAATAAAGAGAAGCAACCACCAGAAACAGAGCAGCTAGGTGTTTTCAACCAAAACTGATCATTTTCCTACCACAGCTATACCTCGTACACCACATGTGAAATCATGACAAGAACTATTCTCATTATAGTTTAACTGTAGGTTCATTCTGCTCAATAATGACAAGAATTGCTGGTTGTCAGAGTTATAACTGTTTTGGTGATGTCTTAGATAGACTGATTAATGCCTGATCACCCAAATCTGCTTAAATCATACAGCAATGTGTCAAAGAGGCAACAGGAAATGTGGAATACTTTTAATTTTTATTTTGAAAGCCAAGAGAATTCAACACATTAAAATACACAGCCAGTACTCTACCAGATAGTTATTCTGCTTTTTTGGTTTTGATGGTAGTGAATTCAGGGCCTTGCGTTTGCTAGGTAAGTGTTCTACCACTTGAGCCATGCCCCAGTCCTTTTGCCTTTTTAGTTTGTTTTTCTAATAGGGGCTCACTAACTTTTTCCCAGTTGGTCTCAAACTACAATACTCCTATCTCTACCTCCTGAGTAGATGGGATTATAGACTGCTCCATCATGCCTGGAACTATTCTGCTTTTCAAAAACAGAAATGCTGCTGGTGTCCCCGATAACAAGTGGTTTAATAAAGCATTCAACATCCTCCACAATGGTCTCCATTCTACAACAGCTCCATGAGGTACTGCCTTTGCTTATACTATACTCCTTACCCTATAGTCTTTATTCTTATCTTTCAGCAATTCAGTTGTTATGAATCAAAGTCAGGCTTGAATACTACCATCTTCCTAATAAATTACTTATTTTGCTAAGATTGCACAAAGATCTTTGTAACTTAGTTATCCTACATTAGATTAGTGTTAGTGGGTTGGAATTCCTAGACTTGTAGCTCCTTAAGTATATGAACTGCCTCAAACTTAATAAATTCAAAGCTTTCACCCCCAGTACAGGGTTAAAAAAATATCTTCTGGTCAGCCTGGCACAGCCCACTCAAGCCCCCATGCATGCCTTTACAGTTCTCTCTATGCACTGTGCTGGCACAACACCCCAGCACAGTTGCCTGACTATGGTTCTTCTTGCCATTTCACCCATGCAATGGCCCTGCTTCCTGACCCTGCCTGCTGGGATCCTACTACCCTGGGGACGCTTTCCCATCTGTCTTAAATGTCAAGTCCTTTCAATAATGCTTTAATTATCAAATTGTTTGAATTTCAAACAATATCAGCAATGTTGAATTGAATAGAGGATGTAGAAATTAAAACTCCACAACAGTTCATTCCATTACATGTATTTACACAGTGATGGAGCTGATTTAACTAAAACACATTCCAAAGAGATGGAGATCTTAGTGTTTCCTGACCTACACATGCAAAATAGGTGCTATTTCGGAGTGACTTAACATTTTCAACGTTTCTTAATAGTAAGTGTAAGATGTATCTTTATTAGTTTACAGCAATGAATAAATTACAAAACCACTTTATGAAAACTGCAAGTGAAAATACCAAATTATCACAGTAACTTAAATTCTTATGCCATTTTTCCACATCTGAATTTAGTTAAGATATAATTCAAATAAGCAAAGCCCTGCCTAGCAAGTGATTCATATACTCCTATGACTATTCATTAAATAACCTATCCACAGGCATGAATGCTTCCTTTTCTAGAAGAAATATACATAATATAGTCTATGCTTCAGGCTCAAAGGAAAGATTTGTATTTCCAATTGGTAGGTATTTTTTGCTCCATGTCAAAATCCTACTTTTTCTCCTCCATGAGACAAATACCACTTTCATGCAAAAGGTGGAAAAGCTGAAGAGCAAGAAGAGGTGTGAAGCTTGAATTATAAAAACATTGATGGTGCAAGCATGTGATCACACCTCTTCAACACATCTTCAATGAACGAGCCATTTTAAAATCGTTGCACAAAAGAAAATAAATTAAGAGAATCTTCTGATAAAAACCATCTGCTAATAATTTAAGTGCCCAGAAGTTATATGCCCATTATGCAAATTGTCTGTCTTTACCTTTTTCCGCTCCTGTTCCCTCTGTTGGAGTCTACAGACAGCGTCATTAGCTGCTTGCACTGAAATAAAACAGACAATGGGTATTCAACCAGCAGCCCCTTGTTCAAAGAGAGACTTACTAAGAGTCTTTAAGATCTCAAACCACTATAAAAAAAAAATTCCTGATATCTTAGTGGCTAGTGGGGTGGTTAGAAGGGAAAAATAAGTTTTCCCGAAATCAGAAATACTTTCAGTCACAAGCATTTCAGATAAGTGATAATTACTTAAGTTTTTAATTATTTACTCTGTGCCAAGACCTGTGCTAAGACACTTACATGTATTAACCCCCTTAATTCCACTTTTCTCCTAGACAATACACTATCCCGTTATAAAGATGACAAAACTCAGGCACCAAGGACATTGTCATTCAAAGAGATCACACAATTAATAAGCACAGAAAACAGCATTCCAAATCAGATCTTTCTGATTCTAAACACGTGGCTCTTATCCTCAATATTCTCCTGCCTCTTTTATTATTTTATCAATGAAACCAGTTTTAATTCTCAGTTACTCAAATCTTTTAATTTATCAGATCTATTTTACTTATGTTCACAAATGTTCTCATTTACTCCATCCAAATAAAGACATTTGGTATGCAGTCTAAGAGTCAACCTTAGTCAGTCAAATCTAAGCTTAAGCTCTTGTGTGACTGATCTTGGGCATGTCTTCTTATTCATTCATCCATTCATCAAGTATTTACTTTACCAAGTCTTTTTCCTTTCGTGGTCTTGGGGTTTGAATTCATGACTTTGCACTTGTGAGGCAGGTACTCCACCATTTGAGCAACATCCCCACCCTTTACTGAGCATTTGCTACAAGCCAGGCACTGTTTGTGTTGCTGCCCAGAATCTTTCAGCGCCTTAATTCTGCCTTATAAAACAAGTGTAGCAACTAATAGTAGAGTTGCAAGATTAACATGATGACTCAATGAGATAACATAGCAGATATAAATAAATAAATATTAATAAAAAAACCACTTAGAGTAATTCTCCACATACACTAACAGGCAAGAAATGCCAGTGTTATTACTATTATTCTCTTTACTGCACTATCCTTTAACCTAATTGAAATGCTTTACTTGTTTCAAAAGCCCACCTCAAGGTTTACTACCTTCAGAAAGCTCTCAAGCCCTCGTCTCTTACTTCTTTCCTATAAGGAATTTTCTTTAAGGATAAAATTCCTTCATCAGGTGTGTGTGTGTGCCCTGCCACTTTATCTTGCAGTTGCTTAAATTGCAGGCTGATCTAATTTTTTTACAATTTCACCTTCCCACCCTCCTCCATGCCCAACCCAACTATGTCACAAGTTCCATAACAGGGTGGGGACTGTGATTTCTCTTACAGAAAATGTTACACCTCTTAGTACTCTCCCTCTGGGAAAATGGTAAACAAGGAGAATTTTCAAGAAGCTGTGCTTTTATTAGTAACCATTAATTTTAGTTATATCAAAGATAGTACAGACTGAAAATGTGGTCCCCAATCATTGATTTTTCTAAAAGAAAACAAAATAAAAGAGGAGGTCATTATATCTTCCTTCTATCTGTGGCATGTTACTATTACATCTTCCTTCCCAAGCACTGGTTCTATCATTTCCTGTTTGTTTTTTTCCTTACTGGCTCTGTGAACCTAACATAAAATCCGCTTCACCATTTTCAGATCACTCTGCGCTTAATCCTAAAGAGGGGCACAGGACTACGCCACCTACTCTGCCACTGTTACGGCTATTAAAAATATGGTGAGAATACATCTGACAAAGCCACATTTTTGTTCCTTAACAGGATAATACTTATGTTTGGAGAGGATCCCCATGTTTAGAAATTTCTACCCTTGTGAAGTAATTTGCATTTTAATAGATTAGCCACATATTTTCTGAGTTTATGACACTGAATTGATGAAATCTACTCTTCTAAAACCTAGAAAATTATCTGACTATACCAAAATTCCCTTCCTTCACAATGAGCAAATTCACGAGGAAAAGGCCCATTTCTTGGAACCTTCCTCTCATATACCAGTTATAGCTAATTCAGTATGAAGCAGTTTCCCTTGCTTTCCGTTAAGAGGCTATACTGACATTTAAAAAAAGTCAAGAGTTTATCAAATTATTTTCTCTTAACCAAAAGTCATTCAAGGATATTAGTAGCACCCCATACGAGTTAGTATGCATACACATAGCTAATAGAAATTGTTTTGTTTTTGTGGGACTGAGGTTTGAACTCAGGGCTTTGCGCTTGCAAAGCAAGCACTCTACCACTTAAGCTACACCTCCAAGACAAAGTAGGTTTGCATGATAGTTTCTTTAATTATCAAAGGAAATCAGGAGTGATAAACCACTATAAATTTCAGTTTCCTCAGGGAAGTAGCTCAGTGGTAGAGTGCTTGCCTAACATGTAGGAGGTTCAATCCCCAGCACAGCAATAAAAGAAAAAAAAATTAGTTTTCTTTTTTGGTGGTACTGGGGTTTGAACACAGGGCCTCCCACTTGCCAGACAGACAGTCTTACTCGAGCCACATCCCAAACCCAAAGAATTAGTATTTAAAATCACAGTGAGTTCTTAAAGACTTGTATGGAAAGATGGCAAAGTGAAACAAAAATACTTCCTTACAAAATAAAATAAAAAGTTAACAAAAGCAAAAAAGTTCATCATTTAGTAAACAGGAAAGAGTTTTAATTGTATACTACAAACTCTGAAAACTGGTAGCCATGAATAGGAACATGGATTCTAGCAAAGGACTGAGACTCCCAACCCCATCCTAACTGACCCACCCCCAAAGTCAAAGTTAAGAGAAAACCAGCTGACAAAACTCTTAGAACTATAATTGCTTTAATTTGTAGAAAAACCAATGAGAGAGGAAAAAAAGAAAGGAGAATGATATATGAAAAACAGGTAACATCCATCCTTTTTATTTATTTGTGTGGTACTAGGGTTTGAACTCAGGGCCTACAAAGCATCCATTCTGAAAGAAAACCTAACAAGATTCTCCATAGGTCCTCTGAAATGCAGTATGAGTTTAACAGGAGATCAAATGTGATGATAAAATACAGAATGAAACATAAAAGGAGATTGCAGAACAAGAAAACAAATTGTTACAGAAGTAATGAATATATCAGAAAAAAAAAGGAATTGAATAGTCAAAGACTAAACAAGTGGTAGAATTATAGCTACAGAGCAGAGCAGAAAGCAAATGTTATAAGCCCCTACAAAGTTAAACTCCATAGAGAGAGAGTAGGAAAGAGGCAATCCTAACCCTCCATCCCTCAAGGCAAAGCACTCACTACTGACAGAAACAATACAAACAAGCAAACAGAAACAGAAGCAACATTACTGCACCTTGTAAATGCTACTTTTATAATTATTTTCCTCTTTCAGTAACTACAATCTTTTATAGCCAAAAAAAAAAAAAGGAACACTTGCTTTAAGGTCGTGCCTTTAGTTTTACTTAAACTTTTGTTCTGTCAAATGCAAATGAAATTAAAAATTATTACTTTAGCCTAAAAATTGTATCAAATGTTCTCTTTCCTTCTCATACCTCCTCCCAACTTCCCCTTCCCCTAACCCAATCATCCAGCTATCACTGTCTACCCATTCTTCTATTTGGACATACACAGAGATGTCTGGAATAAAGTTCACTGAAGTTAAAAGCAATGGTTATTTTTAGGTAATTATTTACTGTGATTTCTTCCCTCCCTCCCTCACTTCCTTCCTTTTTTGCTTCTGTCAAAAAATTGATTGGCTGGGGGTATAGCTCAGTTGTAAAGCATATGCCTAAATTAGCTTGTGAGGATCTGGGTTCTATCCTCAGCCCCAAAATACACAAGTAAACAAAGAGAAAGAAAAAGAAATTAATTTTCTTCTTTATTCCTTGTGTTTTTAAATAATAAGAAACTAAAGTCATTAGACTTAAAAAGAGAGAAGGAGATGAGGAGCTTCTCTTCTATAATCAAGGGCCCTCAATACTGAAGCAAAAATCTTCTGACCTCAACTGTGATGAAATTTATAAATCCTTTAAAGAATCAGTAAATGGGACACAACATCACTGGTTTGTTCAGAATAAGACAATTTTGGTGACAAATCACCTTATGCTTTACTTTCTTGTACACTGAGAGAGCTCTAACTTACTTTTTGTGGTTTTCAAGGAACCACAGGTAAGTTTGGGCCACTGCTCAGTCAATCCCAGGACACTCTACAGAGTGAACAGGGTAGGCTACTGAAAGCAGAAACAGTGCCAAGGTGAGGATTCCCTAACAGGTCTCCACTGGGACAATCCCAGAGCTCCCCACCTGCTACTTTAGTCTCTTAGTAGGTCAGTGGGATAACATCCACACCTGCAGTGGACTGAGAAGCATAGCTGACTGCAGCTCAAGTCAGGCCTCAAGCATGTAAACAAGGAGATAAAAATGTGGTAGTTCTACTAACAGATGCAAAACAAAACTCAACTCATCACTAGTCTTGTCATATACTACTCAGATCAGAAAATATTCTATATACAAGCTTGTTTGCCTGACTTTGCACAATTCCCTGATCAACTCGCATGAAAGTAAACAAGCTAACACACCATTTGCATCTAGTTTTTAAACATGATATTTGCTAGAAATGACAGTTGGCCAAGGTTATTTTTTAAAATGACATCAGCTTTACCAGCAGACATTTGCACTCATTATACCTGTGATGCTCAGCAAAACAGGTACAAGAAAGTCCTGGGGGGTGGGGGAGAGGATTCAACTATGATTTATTGTAAGAACTTTTGAGAATGTCACAATGTATCCCCAGTACAACGATAATATGATAATAATTTTTTTTAAGTCCTTCGATTGGAGTCATAATGAAGATGCTTTTCCTGCTTTTAGCAGGAAAATATCTCCAAAAACCACTGTATAGTTTCTAAAGTCAAGAACAAGACCCAAAGTATTTCACAGATGTTAGAACCCTAATTATTAACTTCATAGTTAGTATCTTTTAATTCTCAAGAAAATATACTTTCAGTCCAGATTCCAAATTGCCAATAATACTTTTCAATTTCACTGGGAATACCTTACTTTAGTAAGCTAGTCCTCACATCAGAAATAAGTGGAGCCCAAGAAAGTAACCTGTCAAAATAACTCTTCATACTTTTTACTGCATTTTACTCAATTTACTTTTATATAATCAAAGTATGGGAAAAAGACTTGTAGGCACATCTCTATTCATACATAAGCATCCAATGATTAATAATAAATTGGAGTTTTTTCTTTTAGCATAATATCTAGAATGCTTACCAGGGTTAGGGAGGTGGCAGAATTAACAAATAAGAGTATGTGTGTAATACAATGCAAAAACCTAAAGTCAATTTTAGACTTTTTGGTGTTCCACTCAAAGAAACCAAATGTGATTTTGAGAAAGTCAGCCTTTCCAATGTCCTTTTAACACTGGAGCACACAGGACTGGAGGTGTGGCTCAAGTGGTAAGGTGACCGTTTTGCAAGCATGAAGACCAGAGTTCAAACCTCAGTCCTCCCCCCTCCTCCCCCAGAAAACAAAACAAAACAAAACATTAGGGCACACAAAGGCTTATTTACCTCCATTATTAACCAAGGTCTCTGCTGGCTTCTTCTCAGGCATTCTACTATAGGTCAGTTTTGTCTCCACTCCTGCACTCCAGGTATTTTTCCATTTTGTGTTTCAGTAATCAACCATTATTTACCAACTACCGTATCCCTTCCTGGACAAGTCAAATATTTTTAATATAGATCTAGGAGAAGTCTTGGGTTTCTAATATACTTCTAATTTTAAAATTAGTAATAAAGTTTCTTTATTTTATGTTATGATTTGATATTAAGAATACTAACATTCTTTTGAAGCCAGGCACAGGGGCTCAGGACTGTAATCTAATCTACTCAGGAAGAAGAGATGGGGATGATCTCAATTCAAGGTCAGCCTGGAGGAGGGGAGATCCCATCTCAACAAGTAAGCCAGGCACTGGGGGCATTCCTGTGATCTCAGTTATGAGAGACATGTAGGCAGGATGATCACAGTCCAAGGCCAGCCGGGGGCAAATGGGAGACCTTCCTGAAAAACAACTCAAGCATAAAAGGGCTGGGGGTACAACTCAAGTGGTACAGTGCCTGCCTGGCAAGTGCAAGCTCTGAGTTCAAACCCCAGTAATGCTGAAAAAAAAAATATTCCTTTGATCAACTATCTCTCCATATGAAAACATTTTGCTTAATTGGAAAAAGTAATAAACTACAACCATTTATGAAAGGATTATGTTTTGAAAAAAAGCTAAAACCTCTAGTAGTGTATTTGAAAAAGAAACTTCATTTCAATTCTCCTAATTCCTGTCATCAAACATTTTCTTATAGATAACTTTTTAAAGGCAAAAAAGTTTCAATTTTCTCTCATCCTAAAAGGACTGTTTTATGAACTGTAGACACACACCTCTTGCACTGGTGATTAATGCTCTTAACATCCATGGCAGAACACAATATCCACTAGTCAACTACTTCCTGTGTCTGGGCTTTCCTCTTGTATGTACTGATTAAGATGTCTTTCCACGTCCTACCATTAAGAGTCAAGACAATATGCTTTGGTGTGGCATACATCTGAAATCAAAAGCAATATGAAAGAAGTTGCTGGCTTACATCTCTGGAGAACTTCCTCCAAGTTGTCCTGCATTGTTTCTCTGCATTTGGGAAGAGTATGTTCATTTGTTTCATGGATCATATTCTTCAAATTTTCAAGAACTCGCAGTTCTCGCAGACTACGTTTTTCCTATTAAAAGAAAGTAAATGACTAATACATATTATGTCTCAAATCTTACTAATGACTTTCTGAGGTTTCCACCCAGGTTTTGGTTGTTATGCTATTGCTTCTTCCTGAAACTTACACAGCCTTCTTCTAATTATTTGGCAATAAATGAAGTCACAACATAGAAGCATTTTTAATTTTTTATTATGAAATACTCTAAAAGTTGCAATATGAGTAATGTTTTTACAGCAATGTTTAAAAATGAGCAGGAGAAATATCAAAAGAACAAGAATGGAGAATTAGATTTCTACATATTTCATTAGAAAGAAATCATATACCCTTGGTCTGATTTTAAATTTCATTTTGTTGTTCTTACTATCATATTGCTTCTATTATTATGTGGTATACTTTTTGTGATTTCTTTTTTTTCTCAAAACAAAAGTGGGTGGTTAAAGTAATGACATATAGATGCTTCTCTATGAAGGGAAAACAAAAGAACAATAAGACTGCTACCCTTAGAAAAACCTGTGTGGGCATGCAAGGTTGACCTTGACAGAGGGCCGGGAACTTGACCAGTAAATAGTTCCCTACCCTAGTATAAAACTTTCCATAAATTATAAAAGTGGTTCACGGTGCCTAAGCTATTTGTTCAAAGAATGTGGTTATTGCCGAATACCTGTTTCCTTCTGGGAGTACAGAAACAACTCAGTACATGCAGCAGACACATGCCTGCTTGACCAGCCCAACAGAAACACTGGACTCCTAGGCTCAGGCAGGCTTTACATGTACAGTCATGATTTGTTGATGGAGGAGTTGGGCACATCCTGTGGGATTCCTTTGGAGGGGACTATTGGAAGCTTCTGTCTAGTTTCCTCCAGACTCTTCCCATGTACCTTCTCCTTTAGCTGATTTTACTCTGAATCCTTCTGCCTTAATAAAGCACAGCCGTGAGTACAGCCATATGCCATGTCCTGTGAGTTCTTGTCAATCACGGAACCTGAGGGTGGTCCTCAGTACCTCATTACATACATCCTCCTCCAGAAAGTAGAGCTAAATCACCCTTCTCACCCATCGACCCCCAACTTGAGTGTGAGGTAGACTCAGTGACTTGCTTCCAAAGAACAGCACAGAGAAAGGGAGAAACACTTCACTTTATAATGGAGAAGCTCAGATGCTATCTCAACCAACCAATGAAGGCTCACATGATCAGTGACAACTTGTTGACAGTTTGAACCCCCTGATGAGATGTGATGAGAAGTGTACTTCACCTCTGTGGTCTTCTTCCCCAAGACCCCAGTCTAATGAGAGAAACACCAGACAAACCCAGTTAAGTTTGTCTTATACAGGAATTCTGTAAGCTACCTGGCTAGTACTCAAAACTTTCAAGGTCAAGAAAAACATGGAAAGACAAAGAAACAATCACAGACCAACAATGAGGGAGACATGATAATTAAATGCAAGGTGGGACCCTGGATTAGATCCAACAACAGAACGAAAACTGCAATGGGAAAACTGGTGAAATCCAAATAAAATCTGGTGTTTCATTAATAGTAAAGTGTCAACGTCACTTTCTTAAGTTTTATAAATCTCACACAGTAACAAAAGACATTAATAATGGGAAAATAGGTCAGAGGTATATGGGAACTCTCTGTACTATCTCTGAAGTTTTTATGTAAATCTAAAATTATTATAAGACAAAAAGTTCATTTAAAAAAGGAAGGGTGGTAAACTTGACTGTAAGAAAATAAGTTAGTCATGCTCCTGAGTTTTTGTTTTGTTTTGAGTCATTCTTATGAAGCAGCTGTTTCTTTTTACACTTTTTTTCATAATGAAAAATTAAAAACTTAACAAAAGTTGACAGAGAATAATGTAATGGGCCCTTATGTACTCATCAGCAAGTTTCAAGAATTCTCAATTCATGATTGATTTTATTCTTTTTGTAACATTCCACTCACCCCCTCAAGAGTATTTTGAAGCAAACCCTAATTTATGTATCATTTTACTGTAAATATTTCAATATATGCCTTTATAAGATAAAGAATCCTCTTAATAAAAAATACAATAAAGCCACCTTTGTTTTTCTCTCTCTCATACATACACAAGAAGTCAACAATAATTCTTTAGTATCATTAATTATCAAAGTAGTGTTCACATTCCCTGAAATATCCTATAAATGTGTTTTATTCATCCATTTGTTTGAACTGAAACCTAAAGATTCAGACTGCACATAGTTAATGTTTCTTAAGCCTTTTTAAATCTATAGATTTCCCTCAATCATTTTTCTTGCAATTTGTTGAAAAAGTGAGTCATTTGTTCTGCACAGTTTCCCATAGTCTGTGTTTTAAGGAATGACTCCCCATGGTGTAATTTAACATACTCATCTCTTCCCTTTCCTGTAAATTAGTAGTTAGAACTAAAAGCACAGTCAGATTCAGGATTTTCATTTTGTTTTGTTTCTTGTTGGCATACAATTTTCAGAAGTGGCTTATGCACTTGCAATAGAATGTTGTTATTTCTGGAGTGAAAATTCTCAGAACAAAGCTCAGTACTAAATGAAGCTTGGTTCCTGATGTGTAACACTCCATAATATATACATAATTATATACTAATATATACAATTAATTTCTGTTGAGTTGAAATTAATAACAAACACTCATGTAATGTGTTGAAAACAATGCCTGGCACTAAGGACTTAAAATGTTAGCAATTATTAACATTACTATAACATTTATAATAAAGATATAATTTGATGGTATTAAGGAGAAAATGATAAAGGGCTATTATTTAAATTTTTCTTTCAGTCACAATACTAAGCAATCCCACAAGATTTAAAACCATATTGTGCATACATGTGTATACATATAAATTGTTACATACCATATGGGACAATTACTCTAATAATATGATATTTTACTCTGATATTTAATAATATAGCAGTTTCTTTAAGACTAACTAAAAATGTGAGATCAGGATGTCAAGCGAAATTTTAGTTAGTGATGCCTTTTAAGGGATATCTTCTCAATGAACTTATCCTACATTTGGACTCATTTGCGCAATCCCTCCTAACATCTATACTTACTGTACTAGTTTAATACTTCTTTTTTTGGCCTCTAATATTAATCAACTTTTCCTAATAATCTTTTTTCTTTCTCAGCTCAACCATCACTCCTTCTACGACAGTTTTCTGGAGAGTTCTGCTATAAGTTGTTTCCTCCTCCTTGTTCTGAAGTACTTTGTGCTTATTTATCCTAGTAATTATAGCAGTAGGTTTTTTATTTATCCGTATCTCTTCTTGTTATCTTTGTAAATTTTCAGTTGTAAATTTTCTAGCAGTAAGGATTGTTTTTTACTTGTTTTTATGTATCTGGTGAGAAGTATCTACTTCTGTCCATTCTCTTCTTCTGCACTATCAATGCCCACATTTGTATTTGAGGTGGACACACTCCTTTAACATAGCCTGACCAGTGTTTCCCACCTGCCTTCCTGTTCACCACATAAAAGGCAAGCGTAATGACTGGGACTCCAAAAGCCACTTGTAAACATGATGGCAATATGCCAGGAAGACAGAAGGTAAAGCTGGAAGAAGCTGACTTTGTAGAGCCACATAGCAGTCCTAGTCTGTCTAAATGTGGTCCCTGGAGATGGTGTAAGAAAAATTAGCACTCCTGAAGGCCACTGTTTTCCAGTTATCTGTCACCAGTAACTAAACACATTTCTACTAATATGCCTAGGTATTCAGTAACTATTCAATAAAGCACTGAATAAAAGCCATGTGCTAAAACCTCGTAAGGAACTTATACAGGACTAAGTACTCCATAGGTACTTCATAAATTCTGGTTGACTAACCTGTGTCTCTGTTCTGCATAAGAAGACTCATGATGTCTGCTCTATAGCTAGGAAAATAATGGCTCAAAGGACAATGTCTCCATCCATTGGTCCCAATAACATTGACACTAACTGCAGTACTTAACCTGAAAAGCAAGACCCTCCGAATCTCTGTTCATATTTTCACTGGAATTGAAGGGGGAAAAACCATAGACAGTCAGAAGAAAGACAGTCTTTTGTCCTTAAGTACTAATGAAAATAAAAAGAGGGTTAGTCTAAGAGTAGTTCAATAATTTAAGAAAGGCTGCCACCATGTGGCATTTATTCCCTTCTTTTACAAATAAAATTTTATAAATAAAAAGATAAACTATGTACATGTACATTAAGTCTTCTAAATATATAAATATGTTTAGTTTTAACTGCTAGTCAGTTTTTCTTAAAATGAACTCCACTTAAATGACAGGGAGACTTCCAGCCCTGCCTTACCACTTCTCCCTGGCCATAGGTATTCCTGGTGAAAACCACATCTACTAAACACAAATGTAAATAATACAATTATATATTCAAGTCTCTAAGGCTTTTCCTTCTAATTTGAAAGGAAATGTGAGAAGATAACACTTAGGAAGGGAGCTGAGCTTGATGCATAGGAAAGTTTCTGTGCTACACTAAGCCCTTAGGAAGACTAACTGGGGAGGTCACTGTATGAAAAGAGTGGATAAGTACTTTTCGAGAAAAGCAACTCAACCGTGGCTGATAATTCTGAGCCCTTCACAGACTGCTCTTCAATGATGCAGACCCTTCTTCATCAAGGAGAGTATGCTTTGCTTCATGAAGGGTGAATTTTTGTCTTAGTCACTGAAACATCCTCAGTTCCAGATATGTCTTACACAAAAAATGTGCAACACAATTTTTTGTTTTTTGTTGGTTTTTTTTAGACAGGGTCTCATTATACAGCCCAGACTGGGCTCAAACTCATCATCCTTCTGCCTCTGCCTCAAGTGTGGGGATTACAGATGTGCACACCACACTCAGCTGCTCAACACATTTTGTTAGACTTTACATACTAAGATTGTGTCTATCATGCCCAATGTGAAAATTTTATTTTTTAGTAAACATTTTATAAGATAATGCTTATGTCATTTGTTTAGGTAACAGTTATTTTATCTAGAAATATCAAAAACTGAAACCAAGCTCATTTACATTATTGCAAATTCTGAATTAATACATTTTTATTTGCTTGTACTTGCTATACCATCTTTCACATAATAACAGAAACACTTAATACTTACATACCATGAATTTAAAACATAATATATCATTTAATCTTCATAAAATCTCAAAAACCCTACAGTATTATTGTCCTTATTTAATGATGAGGGGATCCCAGTCTTACACAGCAAGTAATCATACAAGTTAGACGGGGGACAGGATTTGAACCCAGACATGCCAAGTTCTAATGCCTGTGTTCTTCCTATCCTTCTATACTTCCTACTCTCCCAAAAAAGATCTTGGAAGGCCTAATAGTGTAGAACACAGACATTTCTTCCCCTCTCAGACACATCCCCATTTTTAATTGGCAACTACCTTCCATCTCAGTTAAAAGGTACTGGCTTCAGAAGGAAACCATATTGAATACAACATATTCAAAAGCATAACAGTAACATTTGTTTCACCTTCTTTTGAGACTCAATTTTATTTGTATAGTCCTTTTACAGAAACCATCTACATTATTTAAAGAATACCAACCTGAGACTGGGGATATAGCTCAGTGGGTTAGTTTGCCTTACATACATGAGGCCCTGAGTTCAATCGCCAGTACCACAAAAAAAAAAAAAAAAAAAAGAATACCAACCCAAGTATAATAATATTTGTATGCTAGGGATGACTCAGTCACTAGTTAGCGGTTCCACTTACTGTGTTCTATTTCTGGGTTCAGTCTCTAAGAAGTGAGAGGATTGGATTAGAGAACCCATCTGAATTCCAAATTTCTCTGCTTCTTTTAATTAGATCTTTAGAGGTGTACTTTAAATATTGCTTAAATAAAAATTATTGAGTATTTCAAGTTGGCCAGACTTTGTTGTCAAAGATTACTTTGAAAAGGGGCACCAGACTGAAGGAAGGAAAAAAAAAAAAAGGGGGCACCAGGTGTCAGAAAACCTAAATTTAAATCCAAGCTCTGCTACTTGTTCTTGTGAATCACTAAACACCTACAATGTGCCAGACATTGTTTCCAGCATTTCAAATACAACAGAGAATATGAAAGACAAGTCCTTACTCTCTGGTTCCTACATTCTAATGCAGAAGACAGGCACTAAACAAGTAACAAGAACAGTATCAGGTAGTCAGTGTTTGTGGGAAGCAGATTTCTAAGTGGCCCCTAAGATTCCTACCCCTAGCTGCCATGCACACACATTCTCCTAGTGAATTCAACCAAACCCTAATCTAGGAATTTCCGGTCCTTCTGACTACTGTGCCTTCTTTATTGACTGAGCTAGACCCAGTTTTTACCGTGCTCCAGAGTGGTCTGATGTTATTTCTCTTTTTAAACAATTGAATAGTATTTTCTAGCTGAATAATAAAGTTGAAGTATTCTTCCATGACCTGTCTCCTATCTTTCTAGCCTTCCCACCTGCCACTCTTCACCTCAGCTGCTGTGTTCCAGCACAGGCTATCCTGTTTCATCTTCCTCTAGTTTTGCACATATAATTCATATAATTCATTGTGCATTAGATAGTAACTGCCCAAGTTACTAATGGGTACTCACTTCAAATTCTTTTACAAAATAACGAGTTTCACCTTGAATAACTGGTCTGTGGTCCAAAAGCCTTGAATGAATTTCTCCAAGATCTATAAAGATAAAATGGAAATCCAGGGTTAATACATGATCTCTAGATTGTTTTACTCTTTTCCTTCCTATGAACAGATGAAGGTTGATTAAAATCCAATTTAGACCACTAATTAGAGGAAATCTCAACCACTGCCATACATGTGTAACTTGTACAACTACTCTGAGCACAATTTGACAATATCTAATAAAACTGAAGGCACATATACCTAACAATTTCATCTACTGATATATAACCTAGGAAAAAATCTTACATACATAAATGTTTACTTAAGCATGAGTAGAATATCAAATGAAAAAGGAAACACCCTAAACACACTGATACAGTGGCATACTACAAATCAGGTAATAAAATGAATTCACTAGAGCTCTACTTTTCAACGTGGATAAATTTCCAAATATAATGTATCTCAGAGGCCCAATTATTTATATTCTTCACAGATGATATATAGTTGACACATACTTTTCTATAATGCTGAGAAGCAGTGAAGGTTTGCTGATTTGGGGAAATCTGCTTCTATGGTTTGATGTAATGGGAAGTCACTAAGGCTCAGGAGAGATAATTCAGTCTGTATAGAAGTAGATAGTGATCACTTCTAAAACCCCAACTGTGCTCCAAAATTGAAGATAGTAAAAACATAGGGAAAAAGATTAAGAAATTCACATTACCACAGAAATTAAGGCACTATCCAGTTTCGTAATAACAAAACAAGCCCATTATAACAATTCGATTTCTAGGAGTACAAAAAAATTACATAAATTCTCCTACTTTCACAATGGAAATGTAATATAAGCTACTGATCGTCACATAAACCCAATTCTAGCCATGCTACATGCAAAACACTCTGTTGTTGTTTGATACACAATATAACTAAAATATAATCTTTTGTTCCCCAAAATTCATAATCTAATGTGGGAATTAGACAAATAGCCTCCACAGAAGATACAGATAAGTGCTTCAATGGAACAAGGAGAAACACAATGAACTACAGACTTCTCATTATCTAATAAAGGGAGAATTAGTTCTTATGACCCTGAATGTAGAAGTCTTCAATCTAGTATATGGATCTTTGCATATTACAAAGAACAATTTACTAAACAGCATTTTAGCAGGATTGCTATCCTGCTACAACTTGGGTGTGAATGTTCCCCAAAGCCTCACGTGTAAAAGGCTTAGGCCCAGAAGGTGTAGAACCTTTACGAAGTAGGGCTTCATAGGAGGCCTACAGATCATTGGGGACACCTTCAAAAGGGATCATGGACCCTTACGGGTCTTCTGTGTCTTCTGCTTCCTGGCTCACGATGCAAGTGGTTCTCTCCACGGCAGCATACCACCACAGTTATGTGCTGCCCTTGCCAAAGGCCCACAGCTATGGGGCCACCTGATCTTGAACTAGAAAATTACCCTTTTCTCTTTACAATAAATGCTTCAGGTATTTTGTTATAGTAACAGAAAGCTAATACACACCCATAGCATCACAACATAAATGTTTTTCTTCCTCAACACTTCTCTAATCCATCTCTGCTTATGTCACTTGGACTATTTCAACAAAGATAGCAACACCTCTCTATAACTCAGTTCATATACAATCAATTCTCCTTTATTTACAGTCATCATATCTTATTGTTGCCAAGACTATTGGGCTGTTGTTGCTAAAGGAAACAGCATTAGGTTCTGTGAGTCTCTGGTCACTACGTTTTTGTCAATGAAAATGCCATGTGCTACATATGTTTCTTTACCAGAATTCTTGCAAAATATTCCCATCAGTGTTGAAAAATCTGTTCTTTCACAGAACTCTTTTCCTGTGTAACACTTAGCAGATATTTTTCAAATTCTGCAGCAGCCTCCTGATATGCAGAACCTGCCTCTCCTAAAAATTTCATGTTTTTCATACTAGCCAGCACTAGCTGACAACATCTGCTTGACCCTGGACAAGGTCACCATACCTTCTTTGGCTTTCAACCTCATAAAAATGCTCTCTGCTATCCTTTTTCCCTTTTAATAAGCTCTCACATCAGGAATGGACAAGCTTAGCCTCTTTCCCATCTTCCTATAGCTGTATCACACACTATCCAGAGTAGCCTTCCATACAGCAAATTTCCTCTTCCTTGTTGATTTTCAAATAGTGAACTCACCGTCAACAGCATTGTACCTAATGTTTTGTTTTGAAGAGATGGGATCTCCCTAACCCCCACCCCGACCCCAGCCACCAATACACGCCTTGAACCCAATCTCTGTCTCCAGAGTAGCTGGGATTAAATGAGCTTCCATGCCTGGCCTAACATTACATTCTTAAAGAGTCTGACCAACCAGGCGCTGGTAGCTCACGCCTGTAATTCTAGCTACACAGGAGGCAGAGATCAGGAGGATCGCAGTTTGAAGCCAGCCTGGGCAAATAGTTCCATGAGACCCTATCTTGAAAAACCCTTCACAAAAACAGGGTTGGTGGAGTGGCTCAAGGTGAAGGCCCTGAGTTCAAGCCCCAGTACCGTGAAAAAAAAAACAAAAACACTCAGACAAGCTGCTCCATCCTCCAGGAAGCCTCCTCACTTCCCCATTCTGCTCCTTGTTGCACCAAATCAAATGCCAGACACCCTCAAAGACTCAGGGCATAAGGACTGAAATTATCTATTCACACGTTCACTGGTCTATGGCAATAATATTACAAATATAATTAAAAGTCTTAAAATGAGATGAACTAAAAAGTAACAAAAAAATGAGATGAACTAAAAATTCTTATTTTCAGAATGAAAAGAATGACTGATCTCAAAAGAAACCAAGGGAGCTGAGGATATAGTTTAGTGATAGAACACTTGCCCTAGCACGTGTGATACCCTGAGTTCGATTCCCAAGATAGAGGCAGAGAGGGACAAAAGATGTTTTAGATTTATTTTCAATTATAGCTCAATTTCAGATTAACTTTAAAAACTTCTGTGGGATTTTCCTCTTTTTCCTGTTTATCAACTTTTTTTTTTTTTGGCAGTACTGGGATTTGAACTCTCAACTTTTATTTTTTATCCACTCACCTCCAGTTTTAATGGGGTATACACTGAAAAACAAAAACTGTTAAGACCCAGCCTATATAAAGAACTCAACAAAAATAACTTAAGAAATGAACAAAGGACTTGAGTAGACATTTCTCTAAAGAAGATACGATATACAAATGGCCAACAACTACATGAAAAGATGCCATCACTAAAAATCAGTGAAATGAAAATCTAATTCACAAGGAGACGGCATCTCACACCCATTAGGATGGCTACTACCAAAGACAGAAATATTAAGTGTTGGGTGAGGATGAGGCAAAACCAGAACCCTTGTACTACTGGTGGAATATAAATTAGTGCAGTATGTTGACTCCTCAGAAAATGAAAACTAGAATTACCATATGATCCAGCAATTCCCCTATGGTTATATACTCCAAAGTACTGAAAGCAGAGCCCGAAAAAAATTATTCGTACACTCATGTTCATAGCAGCATCATTAACCACAGGCAGAAGATGGACGCTACCCAAGTATCCACAGATAGATGAGTAAGTGTGGTATGTACATACGATGGACTAATAATATTCAGCCTTAAAAAGGAAGAATATTTTGACACATTACTGCATGGATGCATACTAAGGATAAGTGAAAAAAGGCCAGTCACCAAAAGTCAAATGCCCTACAATTCCACTTACATGAGCTACTTGAAGTTTAGTGAAATTCTCAAGACAGAAGTAGAGTGAATGGTGGTTGCCAGGGGCAGAAGCAGGAGGACAGTCACTGTTTAGTAGATACAAAATTTCAGTTTTGCAAGATGAAAGAGCTCTTGGATGGATGGTAGCAAAACAATGTGAATATATTTAAAGCCACTGAATTATTGTACACTCTAAAAGTTAAGATGTTAATTTTGTTATGCTTATTTTACCATAATTATAAACCAGCATAAAGTAATACTTCGCTGAGGTTGCACATATAAATAATTCTAATTTAGCAATAATGCCATGCACCACTCCTTGGCTCCTAATTTACATTAAGACATATAAAACCTAAACAACCACAGCTAGCTATGCCGGTGCTGCCTACAAATCTAATAAATAGGGTTCAAATAAAACAGGCATCAACCAAAGATCCCATTCCCTGGGTAGTGTTGAAGACTCTGGAAGAGTTAAGAGCTTCCACAATGAAAGATGTTGGGTCGGACCGGATTAAGAGAGGCTGGCAATGCAAATGCAGTGTCTAACTGGCAAAGACCGTCCCGCAGGAAATAGGGTTATTGTGAGCTTTGGGAATTAAACCTCATTGAAGTTCGGTGAGAGTCGAGGCTTTAACCTGCTCCCAGCTCAAAGCAGACAGAAACACATCTGGGCACGTGTATGGTGCTTTACATATCCTCAGTGTTATGTCAGCTACTTCTGGCCTGACCCAAGAGCAGACAGGGTCGAAGAGAGTAAAGTGGGTGACATGAAGTCAGGAAACGAAGCGACCGTCTGGGGGCTCCAACTCTCCTGGGTTCCCAAAATCGGTGCCCTTTGCATTCAAGTCGGTTTGTCCATGGGTAGCTCTGCCCTTTTTCGGGGGGAACTGGCTTGGGGAGGAGGACTAGACGCAGGCCTGGCAGCTGAAGGATGCAGCAGACAACGAGGAAGCAGCCTGGCTGGTGGTAAACCGAGGGCAAGGAGCGCGGGAAAATAGGCGGGGACCAACTACAACTCCCTCCCACCCCGCACACACGCACGCGCACAGGCACCGAGCGAGGCCAGGCTCAGAGGAGGCCGACTCGGCGCTGCGGCTGCGCTGGGCTCCACCAGGGATGACAGCCCTGCCACTCCGTACCCTTGATAATGAGCTGTGCTGAGCCCGAGGTCCCCAGCGAATCCCTCTTCTTGCCGCCGCCGCCCAGGGCGGCCTCACCACCCACAGAGGTCTCGGTCACTCCGCCACTCATTTCGGTCAGCTCCGCCCACCGCTGCCTCGCTGCGCCTGCGCAAATTTGGCGGCCGACTTTCAACGCACGCGCGGGTTTTTTGCGTCATCACAGGGAGTCGGAGAAATTGCCTCTACTTGGTGGGCGGTTCCGGAAACGCGTCGGCATGTAGCCCATGCCGCCATTCTGGATTAGGGCAGACAGATGCTCCCGGACTAGAAGGTGCCTGAAAGTTACAACTAACTTCGTTAGTCGTCCTTAGCTATTGGAACTCATTGTAGTTTAGAGAGGTTGGGGAGGGGATGGAGTGCAGTTGTAGAATAATATTAATAGTAGTATAAGCATATTTTTTGTATTCTTGGCTACCACCAATATTCTTATAAAGCATTTTGACATACATTGCAGCAATTTGGAGGGACAGCTTCATAATTTCTTTATAGCAAATGAAGTAACAGGGCTAGATATTAAGTGACTTCTTTTTCTTTTTTTTTGACACAGGATCTGGTCTCGAATTCTCTATCCTCCTTCCTTAGCCTTCCCAGTACCGGGATTATAGCTGTGTAACACCATGCCTAACTGAGGTTAAGCAGCTTTAACAAATTACTTAGACTCAACCTGTGTCCTTGTGGAAAAACAAATGCCTGCTCTGGCTTTTGTATTTACAAAATTTCAACCATTTCTTATATGGACAAATAAATACATGTAATTACAGAAGAGACTGTTTTGCTGGGCTGCTTTAAGTTGATGTAGTCACAAATAGCCAACCACAGGGTTGTCAGGTATCTGCTGTCATTTGGTAGACTGTAACGTTCATCCTGCCTTCTCAACAAGACTTCATATTTTTCAGTGAGCAATGTGTAACAATGGTTCTAAATAAGACTCATCTCTGATCTCTCCCTTTCTCTCTCCTTTCTTCCTGAACACTCTCACCCTCAAGGATCTCAGTCTGGTGCTGAACATGGAATGCAAAACATTTACAATAAAGGGCCCTTACGTTAGGACAGAGGAAGGTGCAGCACATATGTTGGGCACCTTGTGTCTAGGAGGTCAAAAAGGGCTTCTCAGGAGAGTCAGAGGTTTGTCCCCAGGCCTGAAATGAGGAGATGCATGGGCTGGGTTGGGGTGGGTGAAGAAGGAACTTGGAGATTCCTAGTAGAGGAAATAATGAGCCCCAAATCAAAGAAACATAAAGCAGATGAATTAATAAGTACAATGTAAGGTCAGTTAATTTGGTTAAGTTCCAGTCTTTCTAAGTCTTACTTTGATTTCCTTGGCTTTATTAAGCAAAACATAATTCTACTTAAAGCCACCTTTTTTTTCCTGCCCCTACAAATCTAAAATTCCTCTAAGCCTGTCTTCTCAGTGTCTTTGAACCACTGAAAAACCTGAGAAGGCTCACCCTAATTCAGTGATTTGAATACTTCTACGTTAATGTGACAGTTTTTAAAAATGCAGACTCTTGTGTTTCACCTCCAAAATTTGTGTTATTGGTAAGAAAAGAAATTCTGGCTGCAGTAGCTAAGTCTTTGGAACCAACTGGAATTGGATTCAAATTCTGACTCTGCCACTTACCTGCAGTTACTTTTCTGTTCAAATGGCAGCAAAACATCCATCTTGTTAGGTTGCTGTGATGATTAAAGATCATACTTGTAAAGCAGTAACTGTGGTGTCTGGCATATAGTAAATGCCCCCCAAATATTTTTATTATAATAGCTTCTTCTGTCTGCTTTAAAAGTACTATATACTAATGCTCCAATTCTTCTAATGCACCTTTCTCACCCACCACTAAAATATCTTCTTTTTTAGCCCTTAAAATTTTATAAAGTGCTATCACATATCACATACCATGAATCTCTTAATCTTCTCATTAATATAATTAAAGAACCAAAGAAGGATCAGTTCTAGAATCCCCTTCAGAATCTATAATCCTTTATATAAAATGATGTAATATTTCCACATCTTCTGTAGACTTTAAGTCATCCTGAGATTACTTATGATACCTTATATAATATAAATGCTATGTAAATATGTAAATAGTTGTTACTCTGTATTACTTAGGAAATAGTGACAAGGAAAACCCTGTTTATATTCTGTGCATGATACTGTGCATGATAACTACATGATACATGTCAGCAATAATGTAACATATAAAAAATTTTTTAATCTGTGGTTGAATCTACAGATATAGAACCCATGGACAAGGAGGGCTGATTGAAGATTCCCATATTCAAAGAAGGAAACTAGAAGTCAGGGAATGTGGTAGAGAAACTCCAAAGACCGTTGCAAAGGTTCCTGTCCTGTGTGTACACATGGGCCACATGCTGTTTCCCCTCCCCTTGAGTCTGGGCTGGCCCTGTCACTTGCTTTGACAATACAACATGCTACAAAAAGATGCTGTACCCCAGGAGACCCAGCAGCTTTCTGCTTTCAGGCTGTCCTGCTAGATGAGGCCATGCTGTGAAGAAGCACTGAAAGTTGAGAGATCACACGTAAAGAGAGGCTGCATGGGTGAGAACTGAGGCACATTACAGTCAGCACCCTTGCCCCAGAGGTGTGAGAGAGGCTCCTAGACATGTCAGCCCAGCTACCTGCAAGCTGAATGCAGTCACATGAACTGAATGTGGCACCAGAAACTGCCAAGTCAACCTACAGTGTTGAGAAGAATAGAAGTCTGCAGTTTTAATCCTGTGTGCGTGCATGCCTGTGTGTGTGTGTGTGTGTGTGTGTGTGTGTGTGTGTGTGTGTGTTTAAAGCATGCCCACTTTTCTGTGACAGGATTTCAGATGACTTACAGTGATTCCCTATATTCCGTCAATATGGTACTCTAATAAGGAAATAGAACCAAGGTCAGAGCCCTGGTCATGACTCAAGGCTAATGTGTCCCAATATAGCAATGCCAGTTTATTGGAGGGGGAAGATCTTCCTAGTATGCTATTATTGTGCCAGATACATTTCTGACTCTTTCTTGTTAAGCATTTCTTTCTTGAATCTTCTTTGCTTCCTCTGCCTATTTAACTCAGTAAACTTTACTTATGTTGTACAACAAAGAATTTACCTGGCCTTCATTCCTGGTTCCTGGAGGGTAACCTCTTCAATCTTTGGGACTTCTCAAATGATGGGAGTATCTTTGTCATTCATGGTGGGCCCAAGAGCACGTTTGAGTTTTTTTAACAGGGTGACTCATGGTGGGTTTCAGGATGTAGGCTGCCATTTGGGAAAGACCAATGATAAGATTGATTACAAGGCTGGGGCTTTGATCCACTTGATTGGTCCCATCTCTGGGGAGAAGAGAGGGACTGGACATCGAGTTCAACTACATGGCCAATGATTTGAACAATCATGCCTATGTAAGGGAACCCTGATAAAAACTCTGGATATGGAATCTCAGGTGAGCTTCCTGGTTGGAAATCATACGTCTATGTGCCAAGAGGGAGATGCATTCCAGAAGACACAGTAGTTTCACACTTGGGACCCTCCTAGACCTCCCCCTATGTGTTGTCTCTTCATTTGGCTGGCCTCTATGTGGATCCTTTATTATGAAACTGTAATTGTAAGCATAGTACTTCCTCGAGTTCTATAGTTATTTTAGTGAATTGTGAAACCTGAGGACATGAAGTGTGAATTCCTGAATCTGTAGATAGTTGGTAAGGAGAAGATGGTCTGGGAGCTTGTGGCTCCTGTCTAAAATAAAGGAAATCTGTGGAGGGCTAGGCTTCAACCTCTGAAGTCTGTGCTAACTCTGGATAGTCCACATCAGAACTGCATTGCAATATAGTAATGTACATGCTGTTTGTAAGTGCCCTACAAATATGAGTTCATTGAATCCTCATTTAAGTCCTTTGACATAGGTATCAGGTTTTTTAAATCTCATTTTACAAATGAGGGTACTGAGACATAGATTAAAAGATTGCCTGGCTTGCACATGGCAAAAACAACTTATTTTTGTGCATCTGGTTAAGTACAGGTGATGGGTGTAGAGAGAATGGGGAGGCAAGATTGGGAGAAAAAGAAGAGAGAAGTCATATTTACTTCAATAGGCCACATGAGCTTTTCATTTTTTTCATTCAAAAACATTTACCAAATATATATTGAACACTTGCTATGTACCAGCACAGTACTAGGAGCTGAAGTATAGTGATGACCAAGACTGACCAGTGTCTTCTTCCCTTATAGAACACATAGTCTACCAGTGGAGACAACATTAAATAAGTACTCAACTACTTTTCTGCAATTGCTTTGGTTGTAACTTGTTGCTTTGAGCCTCATTATCAGCCTGATGTGTGAATATGTGTCCTAGCCATTTGATTGTAGTGTTCTGCATATTATTGAATTGTATTGTTCTCTGGGATGATTGAGTCTAGCACATGCCTCTGTTTCTGTCTCTGCTTTTGCAGAAATCTTTTAACTGCAGCACAGATAGCTAGGACAGGCCCAGAAGAAGAACACTGGCAGTACAGTTCTGCGGGGCACCATTAGTTGGGAGAAGGGATGCTATGAATATGTTTTTGGTCCTTAACTCATGGAATCTCAGACTCTTCAAGATGAAAAGGGACTCTTATCTTTCCAAAGAGAAATTAGTTTCCTCTAGCTTGAAGAGACTTTTTCTATTTGTTTGTTTGTTTTTGGGTAGGGGGAAGAGACTGGGGTTTGAACTCAGGGCTTCATGCTTGTAAAGCAGGCACTCTAGCACTTGAGCCATGCCTCCAGTCTCTGTATTTTTTTAACAAAAATTTTATTGAGATAATTGTAGATTACACAATTGTAATAAATAATGCTGAGAGTTTTCTTCTATAGTTTGCCTTGTTTTTCCCAACAACAACATTTCGAAAATGCTAACATCACAACCAGGATATTGATATTGATTCAACTCACCAGTCTTAATCAGATGTCACCAGTTTTATTGTACTCATTGTGCATGTTTTTACACAATCTTTTCACACATGTAGGTGTATCCATCTGTCATCAAAGTCGATGTACTGAATACTTTTTTTTTTTTTTGTGGTACTGGGGCTTGAACTCAG